CGCCTCCCCCGCTTCCCCCGCCCCGGGCCCCAGCGCCTCCCAAGCAGCAGGCTCCAGCCGCAGAAATGCGGCCGCCCGGCCCCGCCGGGGCCTGGAGGTGGGGCCGCCTGCCAGTGTTTTTCCAGTTCCCCCGGTAGCTCCGGGCCGCATTTAGAAGCCGGAGAAACTGGGCGGCGGCCAGTGTCAGGGCACCAGGGGCCCTTCTGGCCTGCAGAGAGCAGCCAGGCTTTAGGCCAGGTCAGGGCAGCAGGGAGCAGAGGTGGGGGAGGGTGTCCCAGCCCAGAGGCGTCCTAGAAAAAGACAGGCCCCCCAGGCAGCAACCCTGGATTCTGCACCATAGTCACCTACAAAAGAGCTGGCCACCAACTGTGCGCCCACCGGACCCCATCCCTCCCAGTGCAGATGCCAGGAGGTTACAGTCCTTCGCTGCCCCTGCCCTCCTGGAGCTGTGTATCAGAGACAGACACACACACAAGTGACTCATCCTAAACAGAGAATGTTAATTGCCAATAAGGCAGTTTAAATAAAGGGGGGCTAGAACAGAGAGATTCATTCTGATTTGAGAGGAAACCAGGGAGGTTTGAATTGATGTTGGAAGTTGAGAGGAGGAAAAGATAAGTAGGAGTTTTAACAGAGAGATAGGAAGAGGAAGGCCAGAAGAAGGCAGACAGATTTGGAGGAAATTTCAGCAGACCCGCAGTCATTGTACTGATATTTTCAAAGACATAAATTGCCTTAGAGGTTATAAACGAGGGCCACAGTGCTTAGGCTTCAATCTCAGACTTGCAACTTTACACAAATTACTTAACTTCTCTGTGCCTCGATTTTATGACCTGTGCCTCATTTGCAATTTAGAGCTCCTCTAAACCAGTTGTCATAGCGTGAACTCTGATTCCTGCAGCCCCCGTGTGTGTCAGCAGAGCTGTGCTCCCCACGGTTTCCCAGGGCTGCTTTTTCAGCAGGTCTCCAGGTCTCTCCTCTCAGGCACGTCTGTTTCCACTGCTAACCTTTGATTTGCTGCCACGCCAGTGAACCATATGTACCAGACAAGGACTCCTGCCGAACTCTGGTGGCCTAGGCCCTAGGGATCTGTACTGCTAACTCAAAGGTGGCCACCTGTCTGGCAGTTCGAATCCCGCAGTGACCTGGAGGGAGGAAAGAGGGGTACTCTCTTCTCACGCCTGGTAAACTCGATCCTGGGTCAGCTATGACTTGTTTCTGACTTGGTGATAATGATCTTGAATTTTTGTTTTTTGAAGAACTCCCAAGATTTATGTACTGTTGTTAGTTACCTTAAAGTCAATTTCAACTGATGTTGACTCTATAAATAGAACTGTTCCATGGGTGGAGGGGGTTGGGTTTTATAAATAATTTAAAAAAAATTAATTCTTGGGCATTTTCTTCCTCATTCTCTGCACCGTGCAATGCACTCCTTATTCCAAATTGTTTTCATACTTATAATGGCTAATCATATATTCCTTTCAGATAGTTCTTACCCTCATCTGATCTAATGCAGTGTTCATTATCTATCTACTCTTTTCCCATTCTCTCCCCAATCCCTCATGTCTGTTCTATTTTATAACAGCAGTGGTGTGCAGTATTTGTCCTTTCACAACTGAGATATTTCACTCAGCATAATGTCTCCTAGAGTCATTCATATTGAGTAGTGTTTTACAAGTTCATTGTGTTTCAGGGCTGTGAAGTATTACATTGTGTGGATGTAGCATGGTTTTTCTATCCACTCATATGTTGATGGGCATTTGGTTTGCTCCTATATATCTTTGCTATTGTGAATAATGCCACAATAAACATGCATACATTTGAGTTGTGCCTCTGGTTTCGTTACAGTGTACTCATAGTAGTGAATTCTAGATTAAATGGTATTTCTGTTTACAACTTTTTGAGTAAGCACCATATCGCCTTCCATAGTGGTTCCACCATTTTACACTCCCACCAGCAGTGAATAAGGGTCCCAATCTTTCCACAACCTCACCAGCATTTGTTGTTTGTTGCTCTGTTGGTC